TAGGATATAAAGCTTGGTTTGTTGTTGTTTTATTATTATTATTGAATTGTGGTTAATTATTAGATGGAACGTTTGGTTATTTTGCCCTAGGTTACACCCTTTTGCTTCTTTCATTTTTTTTTTTTTAGCTTTTTATCCTTATAAAGTCAAAAAAAAAAAAAAATAGAGGGTAACTCTCTACTTCCCATATATCCTTTATCCTCCCATTTCTATGATTTGAATGAGGCTATTATCAAAATTAAAGTGATAAGAGTTGTATATAATCACTTAATAATGATTAATCAAAGTTAAAGTTTAATTAATAAGAAAATAAGGTCACTTGTGGTAGGAAAAGCATATATATATATATATATAACTTAAATATTTTGTAATAAATATCAAGTTTGTTTTACATAAATTCTAAACCTAAGGCATTTAGTTTTATTACAAAAAATACAATATATTTTTGGTTGACTAACATTTATATAGATTTTTTATTTTTAATTTTTTTTTTGTATTTATAATCATTTAAACTGTTATTTGTAAAAATTTTTATAAACCTTTCATTGTTTAACACTTATATTATTAACTTTTGATTTTCTTATGATTTATGATTATTTATCTTTTTTTAGGGGCAGAAAGGTTATATAAGTGCATTTAATGTTTTTATTTTTTTCTTATTTTTTGTTTGTCATATTCCTAATCATGAGATATGTTTTTTTTAGTATTTTTATTTTTATATTTTCCTTACTTTTACCATTATTTATGATTTTTTTTATTTTAAATTTGTCTATTAGTCAATTGGAGTATGTTATGATTGATAAATTGTTTATTGAAAGAGATAATTGGAGGATCAAGGTTCATGTTTGTCGATTGTGGGATATTTTTTCTAAAACTAAACAACTTGTAAACACAAAAATGATAATGCTTGATGAAAAGGTACGTAATATGTTTACTTTTTAATTATTTTGTTCTATTTTTGTTGCTATTTTTCTTTTTATTCATTTTATTTTATTTTTTTGGTATTTTCATAGGAATTTTGTATTCATGCTGTTCTTTGGAGTCGTAATGCATATGAATTGAAGGATATGATTCATGAAGGAGGTTTATATTACATTAAAAAAATTTTTATTGTAAAAAATAAAATACTTATCGACTAATTTCTACGAATGATTATATTATTTATTTTCAAGCTAATACCATCATCAAAGAGATATTTGATGAATGAGTAAATATTCTATGACATATTTTTGAGTTTGTAGTTTATGATCAATTTGACGAACGTTCAACAAACTGCTTAATAGGCTATTATGTTGATTTTTCTTTTTGATAATTTAGTATGGATTTTGTGTTTTTGTGCTTTTATTTAAACTAAAAATATTTTTTATGCTATATTTTTTTAGTTAGATATTATTGGTGTTGTTGTTGGCTATCGACATTCAGTTGTTGGTGACAAATCCTTAAATTATATGAAGTTATACCTTCAAGATTTAAGGTATTATCTTTTTACTTTCTAGATTGACACTATTATACAAAGGATGATTTGGTAAAGAAATGAACCTTTTTATAAATATTGGAATTAAATATCATTCAAGCATATTTTTTTCTTTTTCTCTTAAGTGATAGGTTTATAATTGTTAGTTTGTGGGACAAGTTTGTTTTTGAATTTGAAGAGAAGTGCTTAACTTTGAGAAACGAACCTCAAATTGTTATACTTACTTCTTTAAAAGTGAAGAGTTTTCAAGGTTAGTGAATGTGTAAAACATTCGAAAACTAATCTCAAGTTGTTATAATTATTTCTTTGATCATTAGTCATTCTCAAGGTTAATCAATGTGTAATCAATTTGCATCTTATTGTATGGTGTGTTTATTTTTTTCTATTATAGGTGAGATCTCATTTTCTACCTCAAAATCAACTAGAATTTACATAGACGAGACAATTTCAGAAATAATTCAATTCAAGTCAAGTTTAGTGTGAGTTTTTTATTTGATTTTGATTTATTATTCTTTTTTCTCAAAGTAGTTGTAGTGTTTAATCATTTACTTTTTAAAATGATTTTTTAGCAAGATTGCAATAATTAAAGATTTTTATAATAGGCATAGGTTGTCGAGTCGATCTAATTCTTCCAAGTTTAAAAAAACGATTGTTGAGATGAAACAGCTTTATCAATCAACTATCAACAAGGTTGTTTATTTGTACTATATCTTATTTTTTATTATTTAGGTTTAATTTCTAGTGTGAATATAGGTCTTTTATTTTTAATTATTGTTATTGTTTTATGTTTCTTTTTAGGGTGAGTCTTATTTGGTTACAACTACGGTAGTTGACATATAAACTAGTTATGGATGGTGGTATGCATCTTGTGGTGGTATATATAGGTAGAGGATTGTTCTTATAGAAAGCTCTATGTTATGTCTTAATTGCAACAAACTTGTTCAGTATCCTTAAAAAAGGTAATATTTTATATATTTATATGTGTATTGTCATAACGTCTAGATTTGAGGATCTATCGTTAGACATTGACTTAGGGAGTTACTACTAATCTTTTTTTTTTGTATTTAGGTACAATTGACCACCTAAAGAATCTATCCTTTCAAGGAACACCTAAGCTTGACTAATTAGATCTTTCAATTTTCTGTATTTTTTGCATGAAATATTTTTAGTCTTATATGTTTAATTTGAGCTAATTTCTTATGTTTAAACCTATGGATAAGGCTTTTACAGATTTTGTTTGTCTTTATATATATATGGATTTTAGTATGCATTTGTCACCAATCACGAAGGAACAAGGACTTGAACGAGTAGTAGAGAGTGTGACTCCATGTAGGCAATAAATGAGATAAAAAAAATTCAGCTACTTCATATTAGGCAAGAGGAAATTTGATTCAGCTCCAGTGCTTTACAAGCTGCTCTCGCTTCCATCTCAAATATATCATATTCTTATTGTCAACATGAAGGCTCCAGCTTCAATGATTGCTCCCTCATGGTCCCTAATCACTATGCCTCCACCTTGTACACTATTATTGCGGTCCACAGCCCCATCAAAGTTGATTTTGTAGACATCATTTGTAGGGTGTCCACTTTTGGGCGTTTTGACTGGCTTCTTGTTCTTTCCTTATTATGAGCTTGAATGTATTCTGCCTGATACTTAATGAAACTTGCAGCATTTTGAATCTTTCTCCTATCCTTTCCATGAAGCTTGCCATTCCTTCCATTCTATAGACTCTATATAGCTACCATTAATATTTGCAAATGCTATTTGTCCAAATTCCTGTTATTCAGCATCAGCCTGTGTCATTGGTTATGGTTTCATTACTGACATGGTTCCATTGAAAACCGCTTTGTTGCCATATTCCCCTAACATGAATAAAGTTTCGGATTGCATGGTCTTGCGTTTCTTCCTTGTCCTCGCACCTGAAACTAATTTTATTAACCTCCCTTTTCTTTTCCAGATTAACCATCACTGGTTATGCACTATGATAGAGTCTCCAAATTAGAACTTTGATTTTGTTAGGAACATTCACCCCCAGAATCTCTTCCACATTGGTTTTGTATTTCATCAACATTATGAGACTTTCCTTCAATACTACTCAGCATTAGGTAAGTGTTTTTTAGTGCTACACTACCAAAAAAAAACGTTTTTAATAGCTTCAATTTTAGTGGTAATATTTTTATCGGTGAAATTTATCGACGGAAAATTTTGTTGGTGCAAATTGATATTATAAATTTGTCAGTAAATTTAACATTTCATTGGTAATTATTGTTTGTGAATTTTGTCAAAAATTCGTTGGTGAAATCTGTCAGTAATGTATCAATATTTTATCGGCAAAATTCATTGGTAATTCCTTGGTAATTGATTGATAATCGGTTAGTAAGTGGTGTTTTCGATCGATAAATCTATCAATAAATTCATTGATAATTCATTGGTAATAGCTTAAATTCTACTGGTAAAATCTGTTGATAAAATTATAATTTTATCAATAATTAAATTAATTTGATCCATAATTATTTAAGGAACTTATAAATTAAAATTAAAACATGTGTAATTATTTAAAAAGTTTATTATTTATCTATTATTATTAATTAAAATATCAAATCCACATCATAAATTCTAAAACAATCCCAATTATAAATAAACATCCAAACATCCCTAACATCCGCGAAATATAATATTGAAAAACATCCATAACATCCATAAAATCTATTACACAAGTCCTCAAAAACATGTAACTATGCTGTTGCATCTCCTACTCCAAAATATATGTTGTTGTCATTAGGTCTCGAAAATTGTGTTGGTAGAAATTGTTTAGACTTCATCAACCGCATCATCTGATTCATGAAAATTTTAAGCTCACCCCTCGACTCGGTTCTCAACTCATCAATTTGATTTTGTATCTGAGGCTGAGGAAATTGAGAAGGCACAGATGACGGACCACAAACTGACTGAGAGGTTGCTACTGCAGCTGTAAACATCAGGAGATTCAAAGCCATATACATGAGTACGCATAACTTCAACCCTTTCAATAGCTTTAGTCAATACCTGCAGATCGAAATCTGGATGATTGGAAGAATCTTCACTATATTTCTAAGATAATGCAACAACTTAGCTTTCTTACAAAAAGTTTAAAACAATTATTATTTCATTTTACATGTGTAATCCAATAAAATGAGACAACTTCAAACAATTCAAAATGTCAAGATTTGATTATTAAATATGCAAGAGTTTTCATTTTTCACAAAGTTATTGTATTGTAATACGCATAAAACATTATGTATTTCAATGCTAAATTTCCTACAATGTATAGACGTTTCATTACTATACTATGTATTTTATCAACAATCACAATACATAACCAGAATAACAAAGCAAAATATGCAATATTTTTTACCTTTCACAAAGTTATTGCATCTCAATATGAAAAAAATACTATTTAGTTCAATACTGAATTTCTTACAATGTTTAGGCTTTTAATTACTACATTATTTACTTCATCAACAATCATAATACACGACCATCTATATGCAAGACCATCTATACACGCAAGAAGTTCACAGACCATCTATATGCTGCTTTATAAAGCAAAGTAATCGTTACTTTCAGAGATGATGAAAAGCTTGAGATAGGTGAAGCCATCGCACTCTTTAAAGCAATTCAAGAATCTTGGTGCTCAATAATCGTTTACTCGGAAAGATATGCTTCTTCCAGATGATGTCTGGAAGAACTTTATGAAATTATTAAACAAAAAAACGAAAGGGGACATACAGTTTTCCCAATTTTCTATGATGTGTATTAATCTGAGCTAGGAGAACAGACAGGGAAAGTTGAAGAAGCTTTTGCTAAGCAAGAAAAAAGATTTAAAGAGCAGACAGTAAGGTGGCGAACTATTTTAACTAAAGTGGCTAACATCAAGGGATGGGACTCAAATAACAGGTAACCGTCTTATTCTTTCACCTAAAGAACGATCAGCATTCAGCATTAGACCCCTTTCTTCTCTTATGTGATGCTGCAATCATTTTCATTAAGCTATCTCGTAGTAACTAAATTTCTTCGCTTTTTGTATTGTAGGCATGAATCAGAATTTATTGGAGACATCGTTAAAAAAATAACAACAAAATTATGTCAAACATATTCAAGTGCTCTTAATTCTGACATGATTGGAATTGAATCACTTTAGGGAAAACTGCATTGCAAAATAGACATAAGGGATGATAAAGATGATTGTGTTCGCATTATAGGGATTTGTGGTTTGTGCGGAATTGGTAAAACAACTCTTGCAAGATTTGTTTATACCCCAATTTCAAGTCATTTTGAAGGCAAATGCATTTTTGCAGATGTTCGGGAAGTGGCGGAGAAAGATGGACTTGTTTGTTTACAAAAGCAGCTTCTTTGTCAGATTTTGTTGGAGGAAGGTTTTAATTTTTTTGATGTTAATGAAGGAAATGACATAATAAGTTGTAGGTTATCTCATAACAAGGTTCTTATTGTTCTTGATGATGTGGATAACTTCCAACACTTAAAATGTTTGGTTGGAAAGCGTGCTTCGTTTGGTTTAGGAAGCAGAATCATTATAACAACAAGATATGAGCATTTGCTGCAAGCCTATGGAGTGGATGATGTGTATAAGCCGACGACATTGAATGCCAACGAAGCACTTCACCTTTTCAGTTTGAAAGCTTTGGAAAGTGATACACCCGAAAACGATTTGCTCGAGCTTTCAAAACGTGTTGTAGAATATGCAGATGGCCTTCCATTAGCGCTTGAAGTTTTTGGTTCCTTTCTTGCTGGGAGAGATGTTTCTCAATGGAGAAGTGCAATAGAAAGACTTGAAAATGATTCTAAGAAAGAAATTCTAGACAGACTTCAAATAAGCTTTGATGGATTAGAAGAAATGGAGATGAACATATTTTTAAATACTGCTTGCCCCTTCAAAGGGGAGGACAAAGATTTGGTAACAAAAATTCTGGTCGGTTGACTATTTTCAGAATATTGGAGACAATTGTCGATACATGAGTTGCTAAAAGAGATTGGAAGAAAAATTTTTCACAAAAAATCTCCTGTTGGACCTGGAAAACATCATCGATTACGCGCAAACGCTGTAAGTCACTGCATAAATATATTGTACAATATATCTGTTATATATAGTTATTTTCTTTAAAATTTCTAGTCTCAAATCAAGTTGGTAAATCCATCCAAGATAAATTAACTAGGTAATTTACTCTTCTGACATTAATTGTAAATTCAATATATTAATTAGGATACGACCCCCACAAATTTAAGTGGGATAACAAACAAATTAACCTTTGAATTATTTTAAGATGCACATTTAAGTCATTATACTATTGTTTTGTGCAATCAAACCCCTAGTTTTCTCTTCTTTTTTCTTTTTAACGAAAACCCATATATTGTTTTTTTTAACATTTTTGTTATTTTTAATTTTCTTTTATTTGATTATTAGATTGATAAATTTATTGGATGGTGGATATAATATATATATATATATGTGTGTGTGTATCATTTGATAATAAGTTAATAATAGCTATAAACAAATGATTTGTATGATTGCAATTAATTTCATTTTCATTATAATTTTTTTTTTATTTTTTTAACATAATATGGTTACAAGTTTGGAAATATAATGAATTAAAAAAAATTCTAAGCTAAGTTTTTCTAATTAATAAAAGTGATTCAAAGGGAATTGGAATTGTTATCTATAGATGAGATAATTGTTTTTACAATTAATTATAATTATACTTCAAAATTATAATCAATAAAAAACAATTTAAAAATATAATGAACAAAAATATCATTTTTGTCGATCAAAAGTTTATACATATTTTTTATGTTATTATTAGAATTTTTTGTAAGTGAGTTACTATTAATTAGTGATTTTAATAATCTAATGAAATCTACTGATAAATTTAATCCTAATATAAGATAAGTATAAGAGCTCAAATAATTTAATGTGAACCAAGGCTTTTAATACTATACTGGACAACATTTCAATTTTCTTTAAAAAATGATATATGCCGATATTAGTTGTTTCAATCTATTATTTTTGAATTATTTGATTTAGTATAAATATATTTATAAATATATATATATATATGAACTTGTACATAATAATACTACTAATAATCTACAAAATAAACATGCAATATTTTCAAAAACCAAATAAATAAGTTTAAAAGTATAAAAAATAATATCATCAAATTTTCATAAAATTTTTAAACACTTAATCTAACCATATATTATTTAAATGAGTATTTTTCTTTTTTTCATTTAAATATTAAAATAAAAAAAATAACTTTGATTTTATGATTATTAAACTTTAGAGAGGGAGCATGATTACCTTTTTAAAAGAAATTGAAATTCTTATAAAGTTTGATTTGAAAAAATAAAGTATAAAAGAAAACAAGTTATAATAAAAAATAGAGAAATTCAACTTTCAAGAATTATTTTGTTAATTATTTTTATTTTTATTAGGTTAAAATAGTTAAATAACAAAAGACAACTTAAAAATAGTAAAACATGTGTCACATTCACGTACCGGTTGAAATAACCTAATCCTCCTAAATTAGTTGAAACTAATGAAAACAACCGGTATTACTCGGTACCTGATTCAATATAAAAAATAACCTTTAGATGTATCATGTTGTGATATAATTGGAGTGTTTCGATTGGTACAACCTGTAACGAAAAGAAATTAACAACATTGATGTGATCACCTAAGTGTGGGTTTTACACATTTTATTAGGTCAATGTGGTTTGGTGGTTGTGTAGGTTTTTGGCTTAGTTAGCCTTTGATGGGGAGACCTCTAGGGTTGTTTAATTAATTGGGCTAAGGTTTGCTCTTCACTTCTGTGAAACCCAATGTGCTCTCCAAATTATCCCTTGGCTATCAAAGGCCCAAAAGTATGAAACCTATTTTTCTTTTGACCTTGCTTTAGGCCATATGCTGCAACAAAACTTCTTGATTGGAATGCTAAAATGTAGGTATGGTTTGCAGAATTGGCTTTCTTCACACTCAATGTAACTCTTCATCCATACATAAAGTAATTGTAAGCATCTATTAAATCAACCCATACATAATGCCCTTGGATGAAGTCTCGCAAGAAACTTTATGGGATAGTCTTACTTTCACTTTTCGTTTTGATACATGCATCAACTTGAGGCAAGCTAAGTCCAAGCATTTGCACCAGCTTTTTATGATAACCCACCTTATTTGACCAATAAATCTTATTCAGATTTGACAAATTAAAAGCAAAGTAAAACCATATACTCTTCAATTGTGGGCACCATGTCTGCTTGATTAAAGATAAAATACCTATAAGAAGGATCCTAAAATTGAAGGATGCCTTTAATTAGATTATTATCCACATCCACTTGGACCAGTGAAGTTATGTCTCCATATTTATTCTTAAACACCTCCTGCCTTGTTTTACTCATGTATCCCCAAACATTGCTTAAGTCAGCCAGGTCATTTTGTGGAGATCAAGATGAACTCTCTTAGGTAATGATGAGATAAAACCCTCAGGAAAACAATTTCCTTATTTTCTTGTCCTTCTTCTGACTTGATTTTCAATTGATATGTAGATTCATAACGACCTGATGTAAACTTTGATTGCATTTGACTTTCCACGGATGTAGGTATGAGATTTGACTTATCAATGACTGATATGTAACAAATATTCCCTATATGAGAATGATGCAAATGACAATGTTAAACATGACTATAAAGATGATACATTAAATGATATTGAAATGATGCAAGTGCACAAAATCAAACAAAATGGTTAGATCACAAACTATTCCTCTTTGTGTCTTAATCTTCGAGTTACATCTATCAACGGATAAGAATGGCTCTATCCTAAGGCTGGCCTCTTAAATGTAGATTATATGTTTAGTTATGTGACATTGACCACTAAAAGTTCTCAAATTGTTCTTTACATCATTGTCTATCACAAACTAGTAAGGCAATCCAATCCTCATCCATCACAGGCTACCAATAAAAAAGGATTCAATTTGAGTGGGAGTATTTTGCTAGCCATTATGGAGATTATCATCTCACGAGAGCGTAAGTACTTTACTCCCTCTTAAGAGGGATAATGCTCGGGTATAAAGCTCATGTAATGCAAATATATGTGATAGTGTATATGAAAGAACATATAATTGTCAACTCCATAAATCAAATAAGAAACAAAAAAAGAAAACGTTAGTAAACAAATAATTACAGTTTAAAACCATTAGATCAAAGATAGGATAAATTTAAACTGTTATGGCCTAACTCATTATAGTATCCCTAATGGAGCCACCAAACTGTCATAACATATAGATTCGTAAATCTATAACTAGACTTAATAAATGGAGTCACCACCAATATGTTTTACTATGTGTGATTGGTCACCCAATGAATCTATCCTTTTAAGGAGTTCTTAACTTGACTAAGTGGTTCAAAAGTTCGGTAGTATAAACAAGTTTATAGCACCCTCACAATAGCCCATCCAAAGAAGGTACCATTTTTATTTTAAATCTATCCTAATATCTTGGATTCTAATGGTTTTAAATTTTAATGTTGAATATTGAAACTAACTTTTAAGATTCGCCATCAATCGGTAGATTTTTTTAAAAATATGTCCTCACCTCAAGAAGTATCAAAGAATTCCCATTGTTTTCTAAAAAAGCTGGCACTCGTCGGAAAAAGATTTTAATTATTTTTTTATTTTGATTTTTTGTGAAATATATCTAATATTCTACCATTTCTATGCCCAATTAGAAATATCTCTTTTTTTAAATTTTCTAAATTTTTCATAATTTGCGGGTCTATTAAAATTTTTTAATGTTTTTTATCTTCGGACAAGGGAAATAATATGACAATTATTTTCATTGAAATTCATTTAAATTCTTCCACCATTTGGAACAAATTTAAAGAATTTCTCACCTAAAGATTTCTTAGGAATTTACAGTTTGAAATTTTAAGAATCTCATCATTGGATAATTGTCAAATATTTTCAACAAAAATTTTTGTTTGAAAATATAATTACCTTTATTAAAATTCCATCTATATTATTCCACTATTTGAGAAAAATTTAGAGAAATTTCTCACTTAAAGATTTCTTAAAAATTTACCATTTGAAATTTTTAAGAGTCTCATGTTTGGGTAATTATATTTAATTCCAAAATCTATATTAATTTTTTTTATTTTTTATTTTTGAATTGAAAATAAATATTAATTATTGTTATTGAAACTTTATCTAAATTATTCCACTATTTGGGACAAATTTAGAGAAATTTCTCACCTAGAAAATTTATAGAAATTTACCATTTGAAATTTCTACAAATTTCATCGTTGGATAATTATTATTTATTCTCAAAAAATATTTTATTTTTTATTTGTTCTAAAATTTAATCATGTAAAAAAATTTATAAAATAAATAAATAAATAAACAAAAACAAAAATTAAAAAAAAAAACTAAAAATGGCTCAGCTTGGTGGCTGAAACAACTCAGCTGAAGGCACAGATATCAACTCAAAGATGTGGCTCGAATGTGCAACTTGGCTCAACCTGGCTAAAGAAATTGGCTGGAATGCTGGTCGACAGAAGTAGGTTGCATTCAGGTCGGGCCACCTGAATAAAAACACATAGATCCTAAGTGTTTATTAAGGTGAAAACAATATCATTTTCAGAGGGTATAAAAGACCAAATTCAACCTTTTTCCTCAAATTTCCTTTGCTTTCTCTCTTTTCTCCCTCTTTCCTTTCTCTCACTCTCGAAAATCCCTAAGAACACATGTTGAATCTTTATCAGATTATGAGATTTTTTGTCAAATTTTGAGTTGGTTTACCAGAATCTGGTTAGAAGTTCACCGGATTCTGAAAATAGACGCCGAAAATTAGGAACCTCACCGAAAACTGGGGATCTCATCGAAAAGTCACTAAAAAATTCAAACAACACTATAAAATTCCACTGAAATC